AGTTTCCGAAATAAGGGGTGCCTTCTTTGGGGGTCCTTATAATAGGGATCCTACTATTTAGGGTGCTATATTAGGGTCTCCTATTTTCGGAAACCCTCATTTTCGGCATCATGGATCCGATAAGAGCGATCGCGGCTGTCACCAAGGTCGCACTGCAGATGCAGAGTCCATCGAAGGTTTCCGTGGGCTTCTACAAGCCCCACGTAACTCGTGCGAAGCATTGAGCTCGTTAGATTCCGGAGTCTGCACCTCAACACCTTCCATGAGCCCTAATTCAAAGTGAAACCCTGAAGCCTGAAACTCCTGAAATAGAACCCTACAGTGAAGCCCTGAAACCTCATGCCCGAAAAGCTTTAACTCCTAATCAACCCTGTGCGCAGGCCCAGATCTCGACGAGGCCTCCGCCGTTTGCAGAACCAGCCTCATTCCAAGGAGCTCTGAGGCATTTGAAAGGTTCCGTTGTAAGGGTTCCTATAATAAGGGTACTATCAGAGTTCCTACAATAAGGGTGCCATAAGGATAAATGGTACTATAAGGGTTCCTCATAACGGCACTATAAGGGTTCCTATAAACGGTACAATAAGGGTGTCATAAAGCATTACTATTGGGTTTTCGGGTTTTGGGGCGTCGGGGTTTTCGGGTTTAGAGCCGTTCAGGGATCAAGGGCTTGGATGTAGGCAGCTTCAAAGTGCCAGGGTAAGATAGGAACCTGATGAAGAACCCAGGGTTTATAGGGTTTAGGGCGATAGATTTAGGGTTTAGAGTTTAGGGTTTAGGGCGATAGGTGTAGGGTTTGAGGTTTAGGGGTGATTTAATGCAGTTTAATTTAGCTAGCTTGGGTTTCGGTTTCTGTCATGTAGTGCTTTGTAGGTTTGGATTTGCGGTCATGCAAGAGATTTTTTCCGCGTCGCGGGAAGACCGCATAGCAGCAAAGCCCTACATACACTTGCAGACGAACTAAACCCAACTTTTCAATCTTTGGAGAGCTGCCCAGACAAGCCCATGAACGAAAAGAGCTTTGTCTTTACAAAACGGAGCTTATAGTTGACAACATCCCCACGACGAAACCCCAAAAAGAGCACCGAAACCCGAGTAAGCCTAACGTTTCCCAGGAGTCCGGTGCCAGAGCCGCCCATCCAACGATTAGAGCGGCCGACGGGATGCAGCTGCAGGCATCGAGGACCTAGAGACTCCAATATCCCTTAATTAAGGAATATACTTTAAATTATAGTAGGATCCCTAATATGATTTAAGGTATATTCTTTAATTAAGGGATATTGGAGTCTCTGGGGATTTGGGAGTCAAAGCTCGGCATTTAAGGGGTTAAGGTTTAGCTGTTGGCCCTAAGCCCTCAACCCTAAACCCCTAAGCCCTCAACACTCAACCCCAAACCCTAAACCCTTATAGAAACCTTATAGCAACCGTTATCGAACCCTTAATAGTCACCCGTATAGGAACCCGAAGCGCCTTTTGAGATTCTAAAGGACCTAAAAGCTTCATTCCCGAATGAGGGCTTAGGCTTTTGGGGTTCAGGGTTTAGGGATTACCTGACTAAATCCGTTCTTCATGAATCTGTTGGATACTGCCCCCTCTCAGTAGCAGTTGAATAATATTTGCAATGCCGGTATACACACATATATATATATATATATGTAAGTATATTGGGTCCTTAATAGTTGGTTGTCTTATTATAGACTGCTAAGTGAATTGCATGGGGGGGCAGTACTCCCTAAACCCTTATAGAAACTAGACCCTGTAACCCTTACACCCTCAAACCCTAAACCCCAAAGCCTACACCCTCTGAAACCCTAAACTTCCACAGGGCAGCGATCACACCTTGTCTCACCTCCGCCGCATTGAAGAGCTGCCCGGTCTCCAGAGGCCACTGAACGTTAAGGGTTTAGGTTTAGGGTTTAGGGTTCAGCAGCTCCGGGTTGAGCAGTCTGTAGTCGAGCTCGCTATTTCGATCCTAGAAAAATACCCACCCACCCGGGAACCCTCAAAATCGGGACACCGTATTTTGTTTAGTTAATCCTATAGAGCCTATAATAGATGCTAAACCCTAAAACCTACATCCCGAACTTCAGAGCTTAAACTTTACACCCTAACCGAAGAGCTGCAGAACCGCTTTAACCCTGTGACACAAGCCCAGAAAATCCTTTAAGCCCCATGATGCGAACCCTAGGCCCTGAACCCTAAACCCTGAACCCTAAACCTTGAACCCTAGGCCCTGAACCTTGAGCCCTGAACCCTAAACCTAAACCTTGGGCATTGAACCCTCAACCCTGGAAACTCCACGACGAGAAACCCACATTCAACGAAGGGCCGGCCTTCGTTGAATACGGGTTTCTCTTCGTTGAATTTGATGATTTCTCCGTTCAGTTTGGTGAAAACGGCACCGAAAAACCCATAGTCAACGAATGAAACAGGTTTAGAATCATGTTTAGGGTTTAGGGTTTAGATGCTTTTCGCCATGTGTTCGGGTTTAGGGTTTTTCGTCTTTTCATGATTATAAAACTGCAGAGGATTATTGACAATTTTGTTTGCATAAATTTACTATGGTTCCAAGGGTGCTTACGTATAAGGGTTCGAAAAGGTCTCTATACGGCTTCGTGGACATGTCTAGAGGGTATAACGAGGGTTGTGCAGAGTTGTTTTTTATAGGGTGTGTGCTTAGCTTCTGGGCCCGCAGGTTTTGCAGCTCGAGGCTTTGCTTTGGGTTCGGAGGTGAGTTCCCGGACCTGCAACAGGGCTCCGGGCATGTTTCGATTTCAACTACAGCCGACAGTCTTAGATGGGCTGTCGTAGAGAGATTAACCCGTATAGAAACCATGATAGAAGCCTTGTTGTTACCCTTATAAAAACCTTTTAAAAACCTTATAGATGAACCCTTATGGTAACCATTGGATGTTGCAAACACGTCCCTGCAGGAAGCAGCACAAACCCTGAGCCTCAGGCCTCCGCGCACACACCAAGCAAGGCCACGCAGAATTTCGCATCGTCACACCTAGGAAGCGTTTGCTAGCGGAGGCGGGGTTTAGGGTGTAGGGTTTAGGGTTTAGAGAACACAAAACGTAGCGTGCAAACCCCAACGCCATCCGAACTTCAAATCCCAGACGTTCTCGGCCGCAAAGCCGAAAGCCGCGAAGCCCCCTGAAGTAATTAGTTTCCTCTTGCAAAACTAGTGTCACCATCCTCGTGTTATGGAGCGTTATAGAACCTCTGTAGCGGCTGATGGTGTCATTCCTCCAGTAGGTCGACGAGCTGTGGTCGCTGCTTTTGACCTGCAGATACCTCTGGACGAGCCCTACAGGAGCCTCAGATGTGGGTCGTTCTCTAAATTAGGGTCCTTTTTTTAGGTCCCGAATATAGTACGGCACCCTTATAAAAAGGACCCCACAAGGGACCCTA